TTAAGCATTGGGTACAGGACCAAGTCTCCCCTGGGTGGTGCCAGAAGATGAGCGCAATAGAATCATCAAGTTGCCATAAGGCACGGAATGAGACTATTGCATGGCTGGGTAGTCAAAGTCTTCCATTCGTTAGTCATTTCAGGTGGATTAGAACAGGTTTAGGTTTAGGGTGGGCGTTGGCCAGATTTGGATTTTTCAGATATAATCCTAAATAGGACCTAGATTATTTAATACACTAGTAACCTCAACTTCTGTCACAATGTTTCATTGTGACTAATCAACACTCAATGGGTAAAATATCAAATTTGCGGTAAATTTGAAAAAAGGGAACTTGGAGTGTAGAGTGCACTGCCCACTGGACGATTCTGAAGCCTGACCAAGTGAGTGGGTTACGGGTTTATTTGATTGTACGTCATTTCCAAGTTATATATAGATACATTCATACCATTGGCATTTTGTATTTGAGATAAGACAGAGACAGGGTGCGGAGGGCCCGCTTAGGGGGAGCGTAACCCATGTTATGGCTTCCATTTATTAAATAGTTCAGATAGGCTGGAAATGATAGGTTCATGGTGAGAAAATGTACCATATGGTGCCCGTTCACTGATCAAAATTAGATTCAAATCGTCAGGCCCTGCCCTGGAATAAGGGAATTGACGATGATTTGTCAAGTTTCATTTTGCATTTGCATATAATTGTAAGTTTAGGTTTGCTTTTGTAATTGTAAGATAGATAGTTTGCCTCAATTGAAACATTGAGTTAAACATGACGAATCATACCTCTAAAATAGTAGTAGTTACAGTGCCGCATTATCTAACTTTTGTTTTGTTTGTTTACATATAACTAATACTAATACCTCCTTGTTTTCTCTCTAATTTGTCTACTATGTCCCACCATCACGATGAGAGATGAGCTACCGTACATGGTACACGCTCATGTACAGTCCCAAAATAGTATGCCGCAAGTAAGTATATCACAGAGGCAACTAAAGATCCAGAAACAAAAACCGAAAACGCTGAACGGCAGATTGGTTTACAGTGGTCGACCAGGGTGTGTGCTGATAAATTACAAAATTACAATTACATCATTATTTCATACATCACATCATTTACTGCACTACACCACCGGAGCCAGCAAAGTTCAACAATCCATCGTTGCTTATGCCTTTGTTGTCGTTTGGAACCAGTTTTGCGAGGTAGGTGACGATTGTGCGTATTTCTCGCGTAAATTTTGAAAAGGGCCTAGCCTGAACAATACGTAAAGAGCAAATTGAAACATTGTACGTCGCGTGAAAGTGGAACTTAATGAAGGCCTAAGTACTTTTTCGTAGTTTTTAGTTTTCGGATTTGAAAGATCGTCGGTTACAGTGGCCTGCTTACTGAGCAGAAAAACGCGGTCCCAGGTCCTTACATATCAAAGAGATTTATGGTAAAATCGCTTGTGTATCGTGTATTTTGCGAAACTCGTTGTTGTCGTTGGTTCCGGGTTTGAATGGACACACAAATTTGAGCAACGGTATTATGTGATATGAGGGGCTCGGTGGCCTTAGAGCAACCGTTTTTGCTTACTGAGCAGAACATCATGAGTCTATTCTCAGGCCCATCCACAATCAAGATTCGTCAATCGTTTTATTTGTTAATATGACTACATGGTAATAACAGCAGCTCGGTGATTAAAAAGGTGCTCGTCTGCCTAGTGGCAAACGTTTTTGCTTACTGAGCAGAAGAACGTGGGTTTAGTCCCAAGCTCCTTCGCGTTATATGATCGTTAGGACATCAATTCAGCTTATCGTTTACCAAAACGAACCCTGCTGCAAACCCAACCCTCTTATCCAACATCCCAGTGATTCCTCGTGGAAGTGCAGAGGTGTTCTCGGCTTCCATCAAAGCGAGTGTCATGTCAACACAATCCTTCCCATTCCTTTCTTGACCTGTGTTCGGGCGCGGCCGGCGCTGGTATTGCCTAATTTAAGATCACCAGTTTTTACACATTGAGGATGATTGCTAGTCCCAAGCATCGTCTATTGGTTCTCTGTGTAATTACAGCTGATCTGGCAATAACAGAGTAGCAACCGTGGGCGGTCAATCAAGCTCAAGCTCAAGCTCAAGCTTTAGTATGACGCGCTTGACATAGATGGCCCACAGCGACTCACGAAGAACTACTGATTCCGATCAATAGCGGTGCGGCTTCTTCCTCCTTCTATGGATGCTCATGTGGGCTGCAGCTCGCTGCTTGCAGGCAGCCTTTCGTTGTGTACTGGAGAACAATGTTCAACGCCACGCGCCGAAAGCACGGCTGTTGCTGCTGCTGATGCCGACGTCCGGACACCACCATACACGGTGATTGGAACTGAATCCGATCAGCGGTTGAAGGCAGCCTTGATAGCTAGCTGCTTGCGGGGAGCCTTTTGGAGAACACCACCACACACCATGAAAAAGACATGTAAATTTCGGTGCCCTGAGATCGACACATGCAAGCGGCCCATATGACATAATAATCAGTTGAAAGAAAGGAGAAAATCAATTCAATCAAACGCAATTTCGTCGAGCTGCGTATGTTTCGGTTTCGGAACACTTAATTTTACATGACATGTTTGTTTACGTACCATAATTTACGTCAACATTGGATTACGTCTCGTGCAAAAATAGTTATATCTAAGTGTGCACTTACCACGCGGTGATTGAAAAAAACACCGTTTGGTGAGACCGGATGGAATTCAACTTTGAAATCTGGGTTAGGGAAATCGCTTTTCGCAGGCAATCGGTGATAATTTTAATTATCAAAGCAACAGTTGCACATTCGTGAAATTTTCAACAGTAACATTTTGAAAAATTATAAAGTCTTAAACTTAACAGATGCGTAGAAATATTTCTGATCGATTGGTGATAAAATTATTGAAATTGGTCCAGGAGCAGCTGAGTTTTCGCAAAGTGTACCCCCATATAGAAATCACAGACGTAGTCCTACGTCAAAACATGTTTAGAAAGGTAGGGCAGGCATGGGATAGACGGTTTTTGAAACTCTTTTATATTTTGTTGAAGAATATTAAACATAGATTATAGTTTGGTTAACTTTTTTTTCAGTTTGTATTTTGTGTGTGGGTGGTTTTGTAATTGAAAAGAAATATGTTCATGTTTTACGAATAGTGAAATATTTGTATCGTCAATCATAATTCAAATCTTCTTCTCCCTCTCCCCATCCATAAAATTGTAAATCTCCACTAACCTCGAAACGACCGCAAGAATTTGGTTCAATTCAATTCATGTAACTTTAGATTTAAGATTTATATTAAGCATGTATAACGCAAATGATAATTTTTCACTGAAAAGTTTATTCGATTAAGGCTGTACAAATAAATTAATTTACGAATTAAAAAGCTTTTAACGGTATAATTAACAAAACAATAAAACGAATTCGTTTTACCTTATTAATGACTGTTTAACACTTTATTGAGACGTTATTTCTAATGTAACATAAAGGAATAATCATTTGAAATACATGACTTTGTATTATTTACTTGCAGGTTATGGTTTACCTTTATCAAGCGGTGAATTTTAGCTCAATGTTGTGGTGCGTTTTGTCCATTGTTGTCGTGCATCTTGCCTAAATATTGTGGTTCATATTACACCGTGAATCAATTTTTTTACCCCGCTATCATTTTGGAACCGTTGGTCCCCGGTTCATGAGTTAATGGGTCGATAAGTAGGGTCCAGGTGTGGGAGCTGCCTTCCTGGCACATCGGTAGCATTGGTGCTCAGCACGGAAAACAAGATCGACGGAAAAACAAACCAAAGGAAAAAAAAATCATTTTGGAATCAATTTAAAAAATGCCTTGAAATTCATGAAAAACCATCGTTTTGGAGTTCGAAATAACTCGATTTTCGTAGAAAACATTGTAATGAACCATACTCAATTACTTTTTCCTTGATTTTAGCTTCCATACACAAGCAATTGACGAGTTTGCTAAACGGTGCATTTTGTACCATCATACCCTTCTGCAACCCATTTAAAACCAACCGTGACCCCGAGATGGGAGTTGACAGGTGGGCAGGAACTCACGGTCTCCCAGTGTTGGTGAGTTCTTTGCCGTTAATGTTTACGAGAAGTTCACTATTTTGCTATACAGAAATTCAAAACAAAAAATGTTTATCTGCGTTTTTGGACAGTTTTTTACCTGTTTCATACGACCGGAAGGTGTATGCTGGTCACAAATGCCGTGCCAAACTGTTTTCCTACGCAATTAATCAATCTTTGATGTGAATTTCGCAAATAAACACGAGGAGCATTTCTTATAGCAAACTTGCCATAACAAAATGGGCATGGTTCATTTAAGTAAACAAACTAACACTTCTTCCGACTGTGGCACCTCTCTTACTCGCCTGGCCGTGACTCACCTGTGGGTCACGACCCACAGATTGAGAAAAGTTTCGGGTACGGAAAAAAGCAGAACCAAACTCAAGTCACCTCCCTGAAAGAACAAGATGAACTCATGAACTTGTATACATGTTTTTTTTTAATTATTCAATGTGACTCGGCTCCATTAACATTGTTTTTAACATTTGATACTTACTTAATAACTGAATTGATAAAAAAAAGACTTAAATATATTATGGAAGCTTGTTAGGCATGATTTTTTTTCGAAATTAAAGCAAGCTGTTCAAAGATCAACATAGCTAGTTGGCTCTAAACAAAAAGAAATCCAACTGCATAAAACTTAATTATGTACCCTATACCTAACGGTTCATGGATCCAAGTTATCACATTACAGCACAAATATGCAAGTTTTCAACAAACGATCACACAGAGAAACAGTGATTGTTTATTGTACAATGAATACTTATAGCACTAAGCAAACTCTGAACAAAGATAAGCTTAATTATCAGTTCACCCAGATTACACTTCGTCTTACGGATGCTGCCTGAGATTGCATCTTTTACTGTGCATACATATTTTACTGTGCATACGTAGACAGCAAACGTCCCAAAACGGGCAGACACACTGCGACTGATTAATATCCGATTCCGACATCCATTTTGGAAGCTTGCCGGAATAATCCAGCTTAACATTTAGGTTTTAAAGTGTAAGCCATAGCTGATCGATATGTGGCTTGCGATTGGGTCCATATTGTCAATGATTTCATTGCTGAAAGGTCAATACGTTTTAGCTCCCTATCAGGTAAGAGTCCATCTGTCTGGTGAATTGTTTAATTGGAAGGTAATTGTCCGGAGTTGTCTTTCAGGTATCTATACGATCCAGTGTGCCAACAATTGTGGGAAACCTTGCATCTAATGGCTTTTCCAAGCAAATTTGCAATGGGATTATCATTCGAGACAAGTATATTTTGACCACTGCCAATTGTATGCATGTGCAAGATATGCAAACCAGAGTTAGGTACGTGATACTTATGTTTGAAGATGTTCATGGTTTTGAATGTTATCGTATCGGTCCATTTACAGCCGAACCATTAATCCAAGTGAAATTTTCATCATCGCTGGAAATATCAACTTGAATCAAGCTGATTACGGAGAAGAGGCAAAAGGTACTTTTAGACGGAATGTTGTGTCCGTGATATCACACGGAAAATTCAACGCATCAACAGGAGAGAATGATATCGCCCTGCTAAAGGTAAGTAATGCTTGAAATGTTTATGCCCACACAACACTAGTCAAATCTGGAGGACAAAGAACAATTGTTGATCCTGCCTCTGGCAGAAAATCGAAAAGTGATGATTTTTACTAAAGAGCAGTTCCAGGCCAAATTGTGAAAAAATAAACGAGTTTTAGATTTTACCACTCAGGATTCCATAAAACTTCACAGAGGCAATTAACCAATGTTGTGCAGGAATTCGGCCATTTTAACTGCCACTTAATTTTTCAAAATGGCGAATTCGATATTCTTCAATAAATCATAGCCCAAAAATGGCTCTTTGCATTGAAACGACGCCTGAGATAATTTTGATAAGAAACTGGATGACCTTTTCAGTTATAAAAAATACATCATGAAACAAAAAACCAAAACTCTTTGCCAAAAATCAAACATTATCTTGAATATTACATCATCCAGCAACTCGTCATCAACTACAACTAAAACCTACCCCAGCACGTATTATCGTGCTCAAGAACCCGTGGATTTACTCCTTTATAAGCTGTTACAATACATTAATCAAACTATTTTCATCAACTTACTCCTGTGACATGTATGGTTTGTTTAAGCAGGCAGAAAATGTTAATAATTAGCTTATTGAAACAACCATTGCTACTCACACTGCACTCATATAACCTGCAAATTAAATTCTCACCACGTGTCATTCCCGAGTGCCAGGAAATACACAAAACTATAATTAATAATATTAGCACATCATTCATTATGCTCCAGGTCAAACCTCCGACCGCCCGATGCAAGTAATAGGTAGCACCTCACACTTTGACGGCAATCCAGAACCAGCTGGAAAAACGTGAACCGAGAAAAACAAAAATTAATTTTAATAAATTTAATAAACTTTTATTTCCATTTCACCTCGCATGGCGGCCGGACAACCTCCGGATGGCGCTGGCCGATGACTTGTTTTGCAAAATGGCACCACTTGCACGTGATAAGCTTGACCGCTCGATGCCGCTGTACAACAATACGAACTCGGTTCGCTGGATAGAGCTGCAACAACAACAACATCAGCAATCGCACCCACAATCCCTACCGGGTTCCGCTCATCACCAGCAGCAGACAACAGCAGCAGCAACTAACAACAAAGTTAATGAAAACTGTTTCATAAACATTTATAACAACTCTGTCGGGGTGAGTGAGTACGTTCCGTTGTTTTGCCCCTGTCCTGTGGCAGAGCACCTACACTAGGGTGGGTCATGTTTTTATGGATCACATACACACTTAGAAAAATTGATGTAAATTTAGGTGCTCTGAGACTGACATATACGAGCGTCAATTTTGACGCGAAATTCAGTTCAATCAAACGAACTTTCAAGCTTTTAAGTCTCGGAGCACTTAATTTTGCATAACATGTTTGTTTACGTCTCATCCTTTATGTCAAAGATGGATTCCATCACGTGTAATATTAGGTATTTCTAAGTGTGTACCTCCTGCCCAACTGCTCTTTCTATCTGTATTGGAGTCCCCAACAACAGTACCAACGGATTTGGTTACGAACTGGATTTTCAAGAATATTTTAAATTGTTTACGAGGAAATGTATGGTAAACGAATCAAAACTACTGCCAATCGTTTCGACTTTTGTGCACAATATATGAATATATGTGTACTTTATACCCTGGACAGACTATGGCTTATATCATGTAATATAGGCTGTCTTGCAATGAGCACTCATACATAGGATTTCCAGTGAAAACTAGATGTATTTGTGCTCATTGCAAGCTAGCGTATATTACATGATATAAGCCATAGTCTGTCCGGGGTATTAGGTGCATACCTACAAGCTTATATATTCGTGTGGCTCAAAATAACACATGGGGGCTTATTACGGATGTCACTTCACGGTGAAAACTTGTCAATTGTCGTCACGGTGAAGTGATTCCCATTTGATTTGTACGGCAATCACGGCCCTTATTCTGAGTATCACTTCCTTATCACCGTGTAGAGACACCCGTAATAAGGCTCATGGTCTGGCTATCTGGGGGCTTACCCTCCAAATTATAGCCAACCGACGTGACAGCTCATAGAAGCTACTTTTAAAATCTTGCCCAAGACGCCATATTTAAAATACGTTAAACACCCCAAGTAACAAATCTAGAGCTGCTTGGCTATATTCAAAATTTATAAAGGTTTTATTGCAGCTGCAACCATTACCTACAGCTTTATGACGGTCATATACAATGCAAGTCATGAAACATTCTTATAGCTATCTACAAAACCTCTATAAAGCTAATTAAAAAACCACCTGATGCTTATGCTATTTTCACTTATGAAAGGTTTTATGATTGCTTTGAAGTATACAAAAAAGTAATATAAATTGCCCTTATAAAACCAAAAAATAAATCCTATCGTTGCTTTATAAGTAAGCGCAATAAAACTAGTTGGCCATGAAACAGTTATTTTAAAACAATTATAAGCATTCAGTTGCAACTTGTCAGAAATGTAAATAGGTGGTTTATTTTTACAACATAGAAAAGAATAAAAACTTTCCGGTACTTCCAAGCGGAGCGCAAAGAAAATCAACAAAATTGTTAGCATGAGCATGAAAACATTTCGTGTATACGTATACGCGACGTAGTGTGCGTAAGAAAAACGTCAGCAATCTCCATGATTCTTCCGTTCTCGCTCGCAAATACATGGGGTGACACGGTCGAATCTTGGTCGAAATACATGGAATGGTGACAGTCCTAGGGCAAAAAGGTTGAAATCACGCATAACTTTTCATAAAGGTTAATGTACCATTCAAAACTTTTCTAAATGTTTGTAAAATTCATCGGTTGCACCCGTAGAATAGGAATATACATTTGCCCTCAAATAAAAAATGAATCAAAGCTGAACATTGCATTAGGTTCTGAGTAATATTGACAGATTCGCTTCGTCAACTTTCTCTTTGCATCCCCACGGTCATGTAAAGACATTCCCAGGTATTTTCAGCACATAAATCGATAAAAGAAGCTTTTATCTAGCATCCAATACGACAAACACATCAAGAAACGGTTCGGTAAATAAGCTATTAACGAAAGAGAAAGTCGACGAAGGGAATCGATCAATGTTACTTAGGACCTAATGCAAAGTTCAGCTTGAATTGCTCTTGTAAAAAGAAAATAGTTCTCGTAATAAAATCATGCATTATGATTTTCTGTTCTGCTTTCATCCTATGCACACTGGGCCAGGAATGCAACCTAGCGGAGCAAAATTAATAACTCCGAAACGAAGCATTTCCGCGACTTGGTGTCTTCGACAAAATTTCTCATCATAATAAGGACCATCTATTGACATAAACAAATTGTTCAAAACTTTTCCGCAAAGATGATACCACAATCTAACTTCTTTGGCAAAGTTGTTTATCTTGACCCAAAAATATACCTCTCTCAAATGTTGATATTTTGTTAATCGAGAATTGCTTAATTTTTGCTAAAAATGTCAGTTTGCGATTTTTTGCGCTTTGGGAGATATTAAAGTTCAAAAATTGTGTTTTTTTTTCGTTTTTTCAACAATATCTTTGAAATTTGAAGCTTAATCCAGTATGTTTCTTCACAAAAGCTATTTATTTAATGTATTTGCATAAGAGAAAAATATAACATTATAAAGCTATAAGCAAAAAAACCGAAACAGAAAAAAAACCATATTTTCGACATTTTTTTCTTTAACTCTATATAACTTGGAACCAGTAGACTGTGGAAATTTTACGTCTTTAAAAGAGCTGTTCATTTTGTCAAGATAAACAACTGTGCCGAAGACATCAAGTTTCCAAAACGTCATATAAAGAAGTTAGATTGTGACGCCATCTTTGCGGAAGAGTTTTGAACTTTTTGTTTATGTCAATAGATGGTCCTTATTATGACGAGAAATTTTGTCGAAGACACCAAGTCGCGGAAATGCTTCGTTTCGGAGTTATTAATTTTGCTCCGCTAGGTTGCATTCCTGACCCAGTGTGCAATGTAAGCATTAGACATTTTAAGAAATTGCGCCTGGTGTTTTTCTTGCCTGCTGTCCTCTGTCGCCATATTGTCATTATGAAAATGCCATTAGCCTTGGAATAAAATCCAAGAAATTTCAATAAAATAATGGCTAAATAAGAGATCCGAAATGATTTCCAGTGTGCATTGGTATGAATTTATGTATTTAGATCTATTTTCTGTAAAATTAAGGTGATTCCATTAAATTCATTTGATTTCTGAAACAATCTTTTTTGTTAACTTGAATTATTTTGGAGGCGCATTTATTTAACGCTCATATTATCTCAATATACACGATAACATTTCAAGCGCATATGTTTTGGAACTTCTAAAAAGCAACATATTTTCTTTAAGATTTTCACTAATGTCGCCATGAAACAAAATTGATTGCATGGTGATCTTGACACCAACACTCAAACCTATTTTTACCGCTAAAGATTTCCATTTGGAAAAAAAAAAGTTTCAGCAGAACAGAACAACAACAAGCTAATTTATGGCGGTTGCTTTGAAGCCAATACAAATTAAATTGGCTTTATAACTGATTTTCACCAAAGCATAATAAAACTGCTTGGATACAATATTACTCTTATAGAGGCTATGAGAACCTTTTGTAGAGTATGAGGCTTCCTGACAAAAGGTTTTAAGACAGCTTTATTGTGATTCTCAAACATGCTTTATAAACCTTATCAAGAGTGGTCCACTAAGCTGTATGACGATCTTATAGCGGTTATCAAAAGGTTGTGCTGGAGCTATTAATTTTATTGGCGGTTTTATGAAATTGATCTCAATAACCACTAATAGAGTGCAATAAAACAATAAATGCTACTTGGGACTACCGCCATCTACTCATCCGATCGCGACATTTCATGAGCAAGGACACGAACACACGTAACATTGATACTGACTTGGTTTGCGTCTCACCTCGTTTGACAGATCTGACCGCCCGTTTGGCAGATAAACGCTCATTTGACAAATCAAATTTCGGACAAAAGAAATGCTCCAGTAGTATGTCGGTTCGTCGGTGGTAAAACACTGAGTTTATGCTATCCATCACTACGCGGCAGCAAATTCGTTTGTACTTATTTATTTCAATCATGTGCATCACTTTCAAATAATTCCTACTTTCCGAGCTCTCGGAAGAATGGTGGTAAATTTCAAAAAAAAATACATGGATATATGTTTTTTTCTTGTTGAAAACGCAATCCAATTTTGGGCTTCGTAAGCACAACCCGCAAAGGTGGGTTGCCTCTATTTTTTGAGTGGATTTTTTTTTAACAAAATGGAATGTTTTCACAGAAAAAGACTTCTAAATTTATTTACCTTTCCGTACATAAATAGAAACAAATTGTTGAGATATTGTTAAAAATCTAACACTGCTTCTTGACCCCAAACACGGCCTACGGATTCTAAATTAGACCTAGTACATTGAAACGCCATTGAATTCACTTCGGCCTATCGGATGAAGATAAAAATTGATTCCTTCGGAGCGCTTCTTTTGTTTTTGAGAAAAATGGATTTATTTTATGTTTTCTGCTCGATAGGCCCAAAATGGACGATAAGGCTGAAGTAGTGGTCTACCCTACTAAAAAGTTATTAACAGGAAATGTATAGTAGTAAAAAATATTTTTTTTTATCTAAAGGGTGATACGGTCAAAATTTGGTCAAGGGAAAACGCGTGTAAATCGGTGAAATCGTTTATTTAAAAAATCAAATTAAATTTCTTTTTCAAGTTCAATTAGTATAAAATTCAGGAAAAATATTCAGTTAGGCTTCCGCTTTTCCAAATCCGAATTGCCGGGCCTTACGCTTGACCCCTGCCATCAGATTTTGTACAGCCACCTTGTCCACCTTCTTCGCCGCAGAAAGCCAGTTTGCCTTGAACTGCTGCTCGCCCTTAGCAGTTTTTTTGGTCTTCTTTAGGTTCCGCTTGACAATAGCCCAGTATTTCTCAATTGGGCGGAGCTCTGGCGTGTTGGGAGGGTTCTTGTCCTTGGGAACCACCTGCACGTTGTTGGCGGCGTACCACCCCATAGCCTTTTTACCGTAATGGCAAGATGCCAAATCCGGCCAAACAGTACGGAACAACCGTGTTTCTTCAGGAAAGGCAGCAGACGTTTATTCAAACACTCTTTCACGTAAATTTCTTGGTTGACAGTCCCGGAAGCTATGAAAAT